AGGGAGCTACTACTACTTCTGGGAAATTTCCCAGTTTTCATGGGGGAAATGAACAGCCTGTTCTGGTAGAAGGAAAAAGAAAACATGAGTTGTTTAGCTTGGTAAAATGAAGACTGAGAAGAGATACAATTGCTCTGTTTCAAGTTGGCATAAGAATGACTGGGCATAAAGGAGCTGTGAATAAATCTGGACATGAAGAGAGGAGGGTGCCCAGCCCTCCCTTTTGTTTCAGTACGTGCGACTCCCAAGGGGTGCAGGTGGGACAGAGGTCCACAGTGCTGCCACGTCGCAGCGGATGGACTGAGAGGGGAGGGGGCAACGGGTCCTGAGTGAGGCAGGGCACTGGTGTCACGGGAGGTGCCCTGGGAGGTGAAACTGCGGCTCCGGGTGGCCATAAACACCTGGTGTACGTGGTCACCGTGCGGGACCAGACCAAGGGCGTGGGCAAGACAGAATCACGAAAAATAAGCAGGTCTAGAGACAAGGCAGTGAAGGTTGAAGGTAGAGATAAATTAGCACCAGTGGAGACTGGAAACCGACTGTTACCAGTGAAGCAGCGCTTCTTGCTGCTGCTGTGGTTTCTGTGCGGGTTTTTGGGGAGGAATGCTGCTGACCTGCAGAAATAGAGGGGATGTAACAGAACTGAGAAACCTCCTGTTTTACAACTCACTGTTTTTCTTGAATGCATTCCTCATTGACTTCACTCTGATTTAATCTTCCTGTATTTTAAAGTACTGCAATATATTTGATAAGACTAATGTGCTCTGAAGCTGGGGCATTCCCCGATTGTAATTGATTACAGATGGGGAGCTTGCCTTCCTCCTGGGTTGGTCTCTGAAACATTTGCTTAGTTTTAAAATATTCTACTTGAATAGGGACAGAGGATGTTTTGTGCTTTCTCATAGAGTCGTCAAGAAAAAAAGGACAGGTGGTTTGAGGCTGCTGCATTTGCATAACCCTGAAAGGTGGCTTTAATGAATGATAAATTTTGATCTAATAACTGTGACCAAACAATCACACATCAGACCCACTGCCACCTCTCTGGGATGGACAGCCATAACAGTGCATCTGCTTGCAGAGCAACTCTCCTCCTGCTGTTTTTCTCTACACTGAAAAGGAGAAAATCAGCTAATCATAGAGACCCCAAAGCAAAGGAAATCCCAGCCTGATCCCCAAACAGCAAGAAGGGGTCTGAAGCTTCCTGGGATGTTCCTGATGAAGCTCCCAGAAGTTCATTGCTCCATCTTTGGGCGCAGACAAGCAGCTTGTTTGCACAAGTGGAAACGAACGCTCGGGCTTGATGATCTTAAAGGTCTTTCCCAACCTAAATGATTCTATGATTCTAAGCTGTACTGGCTGCCTGCTCAATGCAAACGGCGGAGGGGACAGAGGGCAGAGCTAGTCTGCCAGGTCGCAGGAGCAGTGGTGGTAGTGACGTGTGGGGACAAGAAGGTGGAGGTGGCAGTGAATGCTCCGAGCTGCTCCGCTGCTATCTGGAGGTGCAGACTTAGGAGAGAAGAGCTGGAGTTTTCTGCTTGTAACGCTGAGGTGTAGCTTCAGGACTTGGGGCAGGAGCTTTGTGAATGTGAATAATCTGAATACAGAAGTAGGAGATGGGGCAGTAACGGCTCGGTGTGCGTGGGAAGGGAGGGTCAAAGCAGTCAGAAGGGACAGTGAGCATCTTGCTAGCACAGCCAAAGCGCATCCAGTGTCCAAGGGCAGGAGAAGGCTTCTTTGCAGTAGTAGCAGGAATAAACCACCAGCACTGCAGCCGCTTCATATAAACCTTCTCCAGGTGTGGATCCCACTCACAACGCTCTGCTTAAAATGTCAAAATGAGCACTCTGACAGCACAGCCCTGGCTGTGGGGACATGGGTGGCCAGAGCATTGCCTCTTTCTTACCATCCTGCTGCAGCTCAGGACATTGTGCCAGCTGAAAGATTTCCAGGACAACTTGCCCATGAGCTTGGTTGCACAGAACACCTCGGCTTACCCAGTGAGGGATGGCGAAAGAGAACTTCCCCTTACAACAGCCATGACATGTCCTGGCCCCAAAGCAAACCTGAGCCTGCCAAGACCTGGCTTTTCATGAGACCCTGCAGGCAGCTTTCAGATCCCTTCCGCCTGCTGGGCCCTGCCGGCAGCGTGTGCTACCCAGGCTGCTATTTAGGGTGTATGCACCCTAAAACCTGCTGAGTTTTAGGGTGTATTTTGTTGCCTTTCACTTGTCCAGGCAATGGGACCGGGGTGCCTGCCTCTCTCTGGCAGCGTTGGGAAATCTGCCGCGGCTCTTCTCCCCACTGCCGCCGCTGCTGGAATGCAGCTTCCTTCGCCTGATTAGCTCTGTCTGTCAGTGAGGTGAGTCTCTCTCCTGTAATCAGTAACCGGAGCTGGTGTTGGAGACATGCCTCATCCCTCCTGCCCACATTGCTGTTGGGGGTGTGGGGGGAGCAGCACCGCACCAAGCGCCCTGCTAGTGCTCCTTGGAGGGGGGCAAAAGCCCGCCCTCACGAGGGAATCCTCTTTCTCTGTGGTCCTACATTCAACCACAAAACATTTGAGAATCCTGCTGCAGACAGTAAGATCCATGGATCAAGTGGGAGGCTGAATTCCCTTACACGTGGCTTTCTGCTTGGAAAGAGGAGTTTGTGGCAGTGCCCAGGGTATAGACCAGCCCCAATGCCGAACAGCCAGAGGTTTATAGGTCTCGCCAGCAGCCTTGCAGTCAGTGCTGGAGCCAGACATAGCTGTAATGTGAGACACTGCAATGGTATTGCCCAAAGTTTTATTATCCACCTCCTGTACTTAAATTCCTGCTCCACTTGTACCTTTCACAAAGCGGATTTCCTCTTGCCATCAGATAAGGCACTTGCCTGTGGCCTGAGGTGGCGTTTTAGGTGGTTTCAGTTTTGCCTAGAAGTGGCTGCTTCTGCAGTTGGCTTCTCTTAGTTTGATGAGGCTGAAAGTCGTGAAGGAGGGATCAGCTTGTGCTATGATGTATCAGGTACACCAGGCTCCCTGGTGCTCCAGATAGGCTTTGAACAGCAAGCCCAGCCAGATGTAAGCGGATGCATCGAGACCCGGTGTTCCCAGCATGGCCTCTGTGCCAGCAGACACTGTTCACTGCCTCTTGGCAGGAGCACACAGGCACATTTGGCTGCTTCTGCCGGTGCTGTGCATTCCTAGCAAGGGGCTGTGTTGTCAAAAGAGACGTTGCTGCATGGTGGGGGCCAAGCCCGGGACCCCCAGCTGACGTGCCACACGTAGGACTGTTTGCAGCACGTTGGGGGATCTTGGATGTCCTGCTCCGAGTGACAGGCACACGCAGCCTGCTCTCCCAGCTCCCTTTGCAGCACCATCACTCGCTCCCACTGCTGCTTTCTGAAATTCATGTTTTTTTCCTTTTACGAGCCAGCTTTCTTCCCAGTGCCAGTTTTCAGTTTCTGCTTTTCTGCTAGCAGAAGCCAAGCACTGAGTTGTTTCTGGGCAGCGTCTTTTCAGTTTAGAGCTGGGGTCTTCTGCATTTTCAGGGTCCCAAAGAGCACCAGCACAGTTTACCACGTGTGGCCCCGTTCCTGGTGCTGGTGCGCCCTTTGCAGCACTCACATAACAGTGTCACTGGAAGCAGAGGAAGTCAAAGACTTCTTTTGAACACAGGTTGCAAGATAAGACCTGCCTGAACTTTCCTTAGCAGCTTTAACTGTTGTCATTCCTGTGCACTCAGGGTATGAAAGTGGTTTTTAAATGTACAGTAGCAGCAAAAGAGGTATTTCCAAAATGTGCTGGAGATCTCCAGAGGGACCTTCAGTCCCTTGGACCTCTTGGCAGCAGGCTCCACACCATGACCGGGGCCGTCTGTGCCACACAGTCAGCAGTCATGGCTGAGAGCTGCTTGTCCTGGACATGACAGGACATCCACGGATGAGAGGAGAGCCACATTGCATGGTGGGTGTGATGGATGCAACCAGTGCTTTGCAGGCAGGTGCCCAGGGTTTTGCAGCGGGTAAACTGGGTTTAGATACCTATGACAAAGCACCCTCAGAGGGCTCGTTGGGCTGGTGCTTTGTCAGTTGATGTCATTTCAGGGAGGCTCCTGCAGAGTGATTTTATCATGGTCCAGATCATATTTAGAGCTCAGATTACCTGCTGGCCAGAGCACTGTGCTGCAGACCTGGATCAATTTACTGGGATTCTTGTCCCGTTGGGAGATTTTGGGGAAAGTTTCTTTTCCCTTCTCTGCCTTGGTCTCCCCAGGGGACAAACCACTTACTGCTTTCATTAAGTGCTTTAATAGTACCAGCACAGGGGGGTGATGGCAGATGCTCTGATCGCAGCTAACGCCTGCTGCAGGGAACACATCTGGGTGGGCTGACACCAGCTATCGCAATTAGAGCTCTGAAGTGCCTGGCTGGGAGATGTGACCATTTCACCCTTCACATTCTATTAGTGTAACCTGTAGCGTGTGATTTCCTCTTGACAGGGCTAGCAGAGGCAAGAGCCAGCCTTTATGGGGCTGGTCTTGGGGCTTTTCAGCTGCATGTACCCACATGCATTCCCCAGAGACCTCCCTTGGCAGGGAGCTGTATGTGGGTACAACATGTCCTGCCACCGTGTTCTCTGCCAGCTCTGTTCCCCGGCACACATCATCGTTAATGATGCACCGTTGGACTCTTTTGTGCCATGGCTGGGAGGGCACTGTAACCACCTACATCTGCCCAAGATACCTGCGTTGCCCAGGTCTCACCATGCCAAAAAAATCTTCACCCAGCCCCCTGGGAGACCTCCTACCTCAGGTACCCAGGTCTGACCCTGCTGGCTGTATTGGCTTTAGATAAGAGAAGGCCCTTGGTCTGTGAGGGCTCTTCTGGTCCACAGTGGGGTCTGTCTCCTTGGCAGAAGCCACTGCCCTGCCCCAGCTGGAGTCTCTCGCAGTGTGGGGAATGGGAGCACGCTTGGCCAGGATAGCTGCTGACCTCCTGTCTTTCCCATTTCCTTCCAGTCCTGGACGCACAATATCCAGCGGGAGAAGGAGTTCCTGCGGAAGCTGGTGAAAGCCCGAGTCATCACTGACCTAA